GTCTCCTCCATCAGACTGGGGGCTCCCAGAGTCAGGGACCAGGACCATCCCCATCAGACTAGACATCCCCAGAGGTCCAAGAGGCCATGTCCCTGAGGCAGGCTTCATCCCATTAGACCAGGAGCTCTCAGACACTGGGAACTTGGTCATTCTCCAGTCTGGAGCCTCCTCTCCCCCATCAGACCAGGCATTTTTGGAAACCCTGAGTCAGGGATGGCATCTCCCAGCTCAGATGTGAACTTCCTGGGGTCAGGAAATCAGTCACTGCCAGGCACCCCTTCCTTCATCAAACCCTGGTCCTGGGTCAGTGCTGGAGGTAGAATGCTCTTCGATGACAGCAGGCCACCCCCCACCCCATGAAGCCTCGGAAATCCTTTTCACCCTGTCTCTCTTCTCACAGTCAACCTCCCTCCCCTGCATGAGGACCAACGCCACCTTCCTGAACCTGAACCTGGCACAGGCTGAGCGTGGGGCCGCGGGAGGCTGGGGGTGGGCAGGGGAGCACGAGGGGTGGGGGCACCGGGAGCTCGTCCTCTACCTCCCTGACAGCCTCTTCCACCTTCTGCCCCCTCCCCTCCTCAGCCCTGGAGTAGCAGCGCAGCTGTGGCTGTGGGGACCTCCGGAGAGAAGAGCTCTTCACGCCGTCCTCCCCTTCTCCTCCCCCTGATTGGAGGACCACTTGTTCCCAGGGAGGATGCCGGACTGACCACGCTCGGCTGTTCTCCTGCTTCCGCGCTAGAGCTAGAACTGACGGGGCCCTACTTCTCTGAGTTGTCGGACAGCCACAGAGGCCATAAATGTCCTGGTTAACACATGCATGTGTCAGCCTCTCCTTCTCTGACCGTCAACCCTGCCATCTTCTGGTGACCACACTTGCCTCCTTTCCTACCCGAGGTTATTCTCAGTGTGGGTGCACGTGTGCACAGGGATGCCTAATGGACCGTGATGAGTCCCTCCTGCTCAGTGTCAAGGCCTCGGGCTCTTCCCACGTCTCCCCAGGTTATATCTGACAGTCCTGCTTCCCAACGGGCCAAAGACTGCCCCTCCCTGGGACACCAAACACCGGGGTTCTGTGGGACACAGCCCTCCCCTATGCTGCAACTCACTCCCCCTGGGCCCTGAAGCAAGGCTGCTCATGCCAGGACAGGGAATGACCAAATTCCCTGGGGGGCATGAGGGATGCCATCTATTTAACCAAAGATGCTCCCTTGTGGCCTTCATTGTCCTGGGATTGTCCCCCACCCCATGTCTGTCTCAAACATCACCTGCACAACCCTAAAAATATCTCCCTCCTCCTCTAAATGCAAATGGAGTAGGGGTGGGGGTAAGGGGTAGAGAGTGAGGGACTGGAAGAGAGTGTCTTCTAACACCTGCGACTACTAGGACCAGAGCCACAGGCCCCACTCAGCCAAGATGTCCCGAGAGAGAGAGAGAGAGAGAGAGAGAGAGACTCTCAGTGTTGGTCAGAAGCGGTGATCACAGACTCAGGGTAGCAAGAGAGGTTTGGGCAGGGACAGAAAGGCCTAGTAGAGAGATTTCCTAGAAAGTTTCAAGACAGAGACTTTCTGGGGGTGGCCACGTTGAGATGGGATGGTGGGTGGTGAACGCACACCACAGTGAGGGTTATAAAATCTGGATTATGATCCTCCATTTGCCATGGATTCATTAGACTCTCAGTCTGTCCATCAGCAAAAAACGTGTGGGCTTGGGGCAGGCTAGAATTTTTTCAAACCATTTTATTAGCCTCAGAGCCCTTTCCTCAAATGCAAGCTTACATGGTAGGTCAATATAGGATTCAAAATAGTAATGCGATAAAAGTAGGTACAGCCCTCTCTCCCCCAAAGTTTATTTACACCTAGAAAATTCCTGAGATGTAAATTAAATAAACCTTGAATTACAGAGGCAATTACAATGCAAAATACCAACCAAAATCAGATGCCCGTGAAAACACTAGATCCAGAAACCTGCGGTATAGGGCCAAAGCCGCACTTGGA